TAAGAGTGATAATGAGCTTTAAAAGGCAAGAGTCACTGAGTAGATTTGGCCTCTAGATAAGTAGCTTGATCAATTCCCTTCATCGTCTGGCAACGGATCATTGCTACTCAGAGAAATAAAAACTTATAAGTATCATTAAAAAATATAATCGGCTAAGTGTGTCTGTTGGTGTGTTCGTGTGTGTGTGTTTGTGTGTGTGTTTGTCTGACCGGAAATTCATAACTTCTGTCCCATTGAACCTAGAACATTCAAATTTGCAAAGAATACAGATGACAGGATGGGAACACTGATGGTAGGGGGTAGGAGGTGACAACAATTGATAGGAAGTGATAAGGAGCCTTAAAAGCAAAAGCTACGCTACCCATATTTCCCTTTGTATTAACGATGAAGTCTTGACACTTTGGTAGGTGATGTAGGATGTGAAAGGATCGTCAATGATTGGCGACAGGGAATGATAGCAAGTGATAAGGACTGATAAGAAACCATAGAAGGCAAGAGCCACTAGATCTGTAACGCTTTTCGTGTTTATAATGGAATCTTGGAATTTTAATAGGTTATGTAAGATGTGACTGGAACATAGGTACTTGGTAACGGGATCGAGAACGGTTGGTGCAAGGCCAGGAGCTGATAAAACTGACAAGGGCTAATGAAAATCCTGCACAGCGTAGATCCACTATAATGAAGGCATTAATAGTGGAGCCTTGACAGTTTGGCATGTGTTGTGGAGTATGGCGAGATCGTATACGATCGATGATAGGAACTGTTAACAGCTGATAACGACTGATAAGAGCCCCTACCAACTGAATATAACTCCTGTGGCATTTACGATGTATTTATGATTACGACTATAGCATTGTTTACGACCGCTACCCAGCAAGGTTTGTAACTCAGTGGAAGATCAAGGCTACTTTATGTTTTGATATCATTTACGTCAAAGCTCATCCGACCGCCAGTAGTTTGGGATTTTCAATTAATGATGCACCCGTGGAGGAAAGAAGGCAACACGTGATAACGACATCTGATAATTTTGGGCATGTGGTGCACGCATTAGCGTGCGTAGCCCAACTGGTCATTAAAAAATGGCCAACTATACTCGTTTACAGAAGGATTGCGTTTTCTAGGAACGAAAAATTCTAAGTTATTCTTATTTTTAACGTTTGACAAGTAAAATGGTGACCTATGAGGTGAATTCCCAATCTCAGTCAATTGCCATAGTAAAGAGATTTGCTCTAATTCATGGCGAAGCCGTGGACTACTGCAAATTCATGTGGTTCATCTCAACAGAAAGGTACTGAAACGATGCTGCGTGCGCGAAGAGCTCTAATGGGATCACGCGTGATCGCGCGCCCATACAGTGTGCGTCAATTGCATATGCCATCCTCTACTTTTTCTTTTATTTGAGTTGTTAGGCAACATTGCGAATTGAAATGCTGACCAACACTTACTGAGTGAACAAGAGTCTCAACAAAGCCTAAACATATTTGAACGCTGCGGTAGCGCCCTTTTTTTGGCGGGAACGTGAAAATTAGCCGTGTCAATTGCTTATGCCATGCCGTCATTGCTACGAAATATCTCAGATCCGCGCAGCCCTACCGCCTTCTGTCCAAAGCTGTCCTGTCCGCAATCCAAAGCAGTCCACCATGCCTAAGGGTCGTCGTCTATCTTCAACAAAACAAAGCCAAATTCTATCGCTTCGTCAAGCAGGCCATAGCAACAAGGCCATCGCGGAACAACTTGGCCGATCCAGA